CCATCAGAAAGGATGACTACCCAACTTTTACATCAACATGGATGGGACCAGAGGAGATGATGCTAAGTGAAATAAGTCAAGCAGAGAAAGTCAATTATCATATGGTTTCACTTATTTGTGGAACATAAGGAACAGCATGGAGGACATTAGGAGAAGGAAGGGAAAAATGAAGGGGGGGAAATGGGAGGGGGAGACAAACCATGAGAGACTATGGACTCTGAGAAACAAACAGGGTTTTAGAGGGAACCGGGGAGGGGGGATGGGTTAGCCCGGTGATGGGTATTAAGGAGGGCACGTACTGCACGGAGCACTGGGTGTTATACGAAAACAATGGATCGTGGATCACCACATCAAAAACTGATGATGTATTGTATGGTGACTAATATAACATAATAAAATTAAAATAAAAAAAGAAAAATAAATTAAAAAAAAGAAGCCAGTCACAAAAGACCACATATTGTATGATTCTATTAAAGCGAAATGGCCAGAGTCGACAAATCTACGGAGACCAGAAGAGATTATTGGCTGCCTAGGGCAGGGGGAGGAGAGCAGACACAGGGAGTGACTGTTAATAGGTACAGTGTTTATTTGAGGGTTGTTTCATATGTTCTAAAATTAGTTATGATGATGCTTGCACAACTGTAAAGTATGAATACCATTGAATTGTACACTTTAAACTAGGACATCTATTGAATTATATCTCAATAAAGTTTTTTAAAATAACCTAAATTTCCACCAATAATGAGATTGTCAAGTAAATTATGGTAAATCTAATGCATCAAGTGCTCCACAGGTATAAAAAAAAAAAATTGATTGCCTTATTTGTCCCAATATAGACCAATCTCTTTTTTAAATCAAGAGAGCAAAATACAGAGTAATATATGTACCCTAGCCCCATTTATGTAAAAAAAATGGAATATTTCTTGAAAGATGTCCAGTTCTTGAAAGGCTGGTAACAGTTGTGTTTGGAGTGGGGACTGCAGGATGAGATCTAGAATGTGAGATTTTCTTCTCAATATTCCTTCTTGTATTTTCTTAAATGATTTACCATGTATATATTTATTTTACAATAAACTGTCTTAAATTAACTTTTTTTTCCTAAAGGGAAAAGAGTAAAGGAAAAGAAAGTCCAGATCAGTACAACATTAAATACCCTACTCTGTACAATAGAGGTGAAGTGTGGGGTCCACACAGATACTGACAGTGGAGACCCACCCTCCGAAGTTTAGTGTGTAACCAGGAAAAAAATAAATAGATTAATAGATTGATGAATTACTTAATTTTGAGATTTTTAAAGAAAATAAATTAGTGTAAGAAACCACCAGTAAATGCTCTGTGTACAAATGGAGAGCTCTCCGAGCAGCATTAGGTCACATGGGTGTTAACATTGTGGATGGGGCAGTGGAACCACACTACAGTTAAAAGGGCAGGTGGCCTTTGAGAAGCTTGCTTTCCACAAATGGTCAGATATACAATTAGCATGTGGTTTCAGGCACAAATGGCAGTTTAGAAAACTTTTTTTTTTTAAGTTGCTAGAGTATGATTATCCTAGTCTCTCTACACAGATGGAAACAAATGTGCCCTCAAAGGTTTAATAAGAGCCTATCCCATATAGAACAGACACACAGTTGCAGGCTCTAGGATAATTCATAATTCGTAACACCTGCTCTATGCTGGGCAGGCCCACACACTATTTCTCATTCTCATAGGCATCCTGCAAGTTAGGAATCCGGAGTCTCAGTGCAAAAGGCAAGGATTAGAAACCCAAAGAAGCAAAATAAGTTCCCCCGTGTACCACAGCTAAGTGCTGGTTGGGATCAGTGGTCGAACCGAAGTCTGAATGACCCCAGCACACCTATTTCTTCTACCAAACCACTCCTCTTCCCATGTTGCAATTGTTTCTGGCATGTTTAGGAATCAGGAAAGTGAAAGTAATGTTTGTTTGTTTGGGTACCTAATGGGATGGTTCTAAGGATTTAAGGTTAAACTTCCTGATTCTTTACCCGTTCTAAGATACCCTAACAGAACCAGGACTTGGCATGATTGGTTTGGGGGAAAGGTGTTTTATTTTGTTTACAGTCGAGGTGGGTAGACTGCAGTGTATCGATGATGCAGCCAGCTCAAGTCATAGCTAAGAGTATTGACTGTTACAGTGTGGTCAGGGTTTTTATAAGGTGGGTGTATATGACCACTTCACAGATGAGAAAATAAAGACTTGGAGAAATCAAGCAACTTATTCAAGGCCCCAAATAGAGTAATAAGCAAGTGAAGGTTATCATAAGTGTAGTGGAGTCTGAACTCAAACCCACACCTCCCAAAACCTATTCATTCCTTGCTCTGCCATGAAACCACTCAAGCAAAATAAAGATACAGACATGGCCAATATAGACTTTTGTTCTAAGAAGTTTGGCTGTAAAGGGAAGGAGGAAAAGCAGCTAGTAATAGAATGGGGGACAAGGGTAAGAAAGGATATTGTTGTGTCTCTTTGGAGTGGAGAAGATTGACCATGTTTAAGGTGAAACATGCTCCTGAATGATGAAACACACCATCCACAGCACATAGTAAGTGCTTAAGAAATGATTTTGCTTGGTGCAAGTAAAGGAGTGAATAGTTAACAGAGCAGGGTCTATAAGGAAGCCAACACTGATAAGAACCAAGAATGCCAGTTAGTACTAAGGAAGATCGACATTTTTCCAGAGAATCAGGGGCAAAGAAAAGGAGGGCAAGCAAGATATAAGGCGGTTTTAATAAGTTAGAATGAAGGGTAAGCAGGGAGGGTCAAGTGGAGTGCTCTCCCTGTTCTTAGTAAAACAGAAGGCAAAGTTATCTGTGGGGAAAGGGGAAGGCATGGGTGAGGTCCAGGAATGTGGGGAGTTTTGAAACAATCCATATAGTAAACGTGATCAGATCTTAGTGATACTTGGTCCTGAGAGAGTTAGTGTTCAGTTAGGTGTAAATGAATGTACACAGGTGTGCAGCCGCTAGGGGTCCCGTTAAGTGTGCACCTAGATGATTGTACAAATTACCTGGTGCAGAGTTCACCAGTCCGGGACTCTGGAAATGCCCAACAGCTGCTAGAGCTTCTCCCTTTGGATGGGCAATAGCTCTGTGCCTACCCAGGCCCAAAGAAAAGTCTCTATTCCGAGTTGCCAGTTCAATGGCTAAACCCTGGGGCAAGCATGTAATAATTCCCAAATAAATAAACAGGGACGCCTGGGTGGTTCATTTGGTTAAGCATCTGCCTTCAGCTCAGGTCCTGATCCTCGGGTCCTGGGATGGAGTCCCTCATCGGGCTTCTTGCTCAGCAGGGAGGCTGCTTCTCCCTCTGCCTGCAGCTCCCCCTGCTTGTGCTTTCTCTCTCTGTCTCTCTCTCTCTCTCTCTGACAAATAAATAAAATCTTTAAAAAAAAATAAACGATGAACTTTATAAATGATTTCAAAATATCTTAAGTCAAGATAACTTGGTAATGATTTTATTTGCGGCACCCCTCATCCTTGTGGGATCATCTATTATGTGTAGACAACACTTTGGACTTTTCAAGATGCTTTCATGTGTATCAGTCATCTAATCCTTAAACCTTTGCTGAGTAGTTGAGATCGTATTACTACCAGGCGGAACAGACAGAAAAACGAAACCAGGTGGAGGCTAGTTAACTGATTCGCAGAAGACAAAGAACTCTCTGGTGATAGAGCTGGTGGTAAAATCAAAGTTTTCTAATGCTTGGCCCAATTCAAGATATCCCAAGAAAACCAAAGTTAGCAATCCCCTCACCTTCTCCTTCTCCCTTTTTTTTTTTTCTTTTCTTTCCCCTCAATTCTGTTTCTTTTGTTTGGAGACTTTTAGATCCTGACAAAATATCACCCCTTTGGGCTGCCTGTGTTTCAATGAACCTGGAGCCGCCCTTCACAGAATCAGAGAGCCCTGCACACCACTGACTCATGGAGAGCCCTTACCTTGTGGTTTCTTCCTAGTAAAATGATGCTGGCATCCCAATCATCAGGCACCCACTCAGGCATGCCTGAGCAGGGGCACTTGACTTGTGCGGGCCCTCCTCTGAGGTTCCAAAATTAAAGACGATGAAAATTTGTTGGGGTGCCTGGGTGGCACAGTTTGTTGAGCATCCAACTCTTGGTTTTGGCTCAGGTTGTGATCTTAGGGTCCTGAGACTGAGCCCTGAGTCAGGCTCCACACTCAGCTAAGATTCTGCTGGAGACTCTCTCTCCCCCTCCCCTCTGCCCCTCCCCCTAAAATAAATCAATCTTAAAAAAAAAAAGAAGATGAAAATTGAATCAGATGTTGGTAACCTCCCAAATTTTTGAGAGCTGTTTCCGTGCTTTTCTAAGTCTCTCCCTTTCATTCCTAACCTTCCCCATTTTTCCTGTAACCAGTATGAACTGTCTCTTATGCAAAAATAGTCAGTTCTCACTTATTTTTGCCAATAGTCACATTTTTATTATGATTAAGAATTTTATTATTAAAATTATTACATCTCTGGTAGAAGTCCAAAGTTTACGGCAAGATGTAAGTCAAGCTCCCACTTGACTTTTTAGCAAAATGCCCCGTATCTCCTTCTTAAAGCCTTGAACTACTGTCAAAATATCCAGGAACACAGTTCCAGGATTCTGACTTGGGATGGGAGTGGGTAGTAAGTTGCAAATTCACCTGATCAGTTACCACCACCGAGTTGTCCTGTACCGTCCAAGAGAGCAACTCCGTGCACTGAGAGGCCTGTACCCCTGCACGATCCTACCCTTCTTTTAGGAATTCCAAATGGTCTTGTCAGATCCAGTATTTTAAAAGCCACAGATTACTTAGACAACATCTCCTGAGCTCTGGGGGATAAGATTCATGGTAGATCCATTTGGGGTGTTGTCTCTCAACTTACATCCTTAATTCTTGATGCCCACTAAACTCCAAACTTGTTTTTTCCTTTATTTAGTTAATATCTTCTAATTCCTTTTATGACTGCATTTCAAATTCCTCAATTCCATTTCTTGAGACTTTTTTTCCTTGCTAGCCTGTCAGTCATCTACCTTTAAGGGCCCATTTTCCACTAGCTCTTGAATGCCTACTTTCCTGCTACCTGGTTTCCAAAATCAAATTCTGATATATATTATAAATTTAGCATCTAAAACATCCATAGATGTGATTATATGCTTCAGAATTACTTTACCGTCTTCAGAGCTTGCTCTGTCCTACATGAAACTGAAAATAGTCATACAAAATCACCCTAAGAGGAAAGATATCAATCAGAAGAGCTAGACTGACACTCAGATCTTTGGAAAGTGTGTTAACATTAGCATTGGAACTTACCAATAATGTCCACATCCTTTCCTTGAGGAGCAGCAGAACATAGCAGAAAGGGCATAGACATCATAAGAAACTGACTATGGTTCAAACTCAGCCAGAGTTAAGTTTCTATTGCTTACAAGCTCTCTGAACGTGGGTAGTTCTCTTAACTATCAAATGGAAACTAGATAAGAACATAAACCCCAGAGGGTTGTTATAAAGATTAAACAAGATTAAATATATAAAATGCCTAGAATGATGCCTGGCAGGAAAAAAAAAAAAAGATTACTAACGTTGTTATCATTAATCCCAGAAATTTCCTATAGATTTAGTGTTTCTGTTTCTTCTTTACTTATTTTATTATAATTCAATATACACCCTCTTCTTTCCATCGCAACACACTAGATTTTTGGTTTTGAGAATTCCAATATTATTATTTATATTTTAGCATACTTTATAAAGTCCAGATTGAGATTTTAAAGCCAATCGTATTATATTAAGGTAAGTCTCCTGGATTTTTTTTTTCTCAAAAACTGAGATGCTTTTCCTTAGAATGATTTTGTATACATGCAAATATATCCCTAATAGTATTTGAAAGTGACCGCAGATTTTGCAAAGCAAAATGTTTCACTGCTAAATACTAGGGTAACATAGGAACACCTTAGTTTATGTTCTCCAAGCTTGAGGAGGAACAGAACACTTGAAAGATTAGTTTAGTGCCTCATTATGCCTTTCAAATGACCTCTGACAGGTTTCCAAAGGTAATTATTTTAAAAAATCCAACCAGTCCCCCTCTGTCTCTTAGCTGTGCTTTCTCTCAGCTCTGCCACATCCTCAGGCAGACCCTTCCCTGGTGGTG